GAACTCAGATATATTTTCATTCTGCAGGACTGATGTGCGGAGAGGAAAAAGGATCCAAACCCCCCTGTGCATGTGTGGAAGGCACTTCTGCACCCACATGGCAGAGCGGTTTTACTATTTTGTCCACCCTGTCTGCAGTCTCTTATATCTCTAAAAAGCCATTCCAGAGAATCTTCCAACATTTGGTAGGTGCTGTTTGGATAGTTTGGGGGCTGCCTCTAGGAAGAGGGGTAGTGGATGTGCCCTTCTTCCATAAACTGATACAAATTCACATTTCAAGTCTATTCCATGTTTTAGAGTAAGGGTAATCAGATTGAGTATGAGAAGATTTTAAATTTACCCACTGAACTTTATATTTCTATACTGGTAGTAGCTGAAGCTCTCTGGGCAGTTCACAACATTTTAAGTCACCCACCCAGATACCAACCTGGCGCTACCCTACCAGTTTCCAAAATTAGGCAGGATCAGGCACTTCTAACATTTTAAACAAATAATGGAGCTCAAAGGAACTTTTTAAAATATTTAGGGTGCAAATGTGGGGGAAAGTCCCACATTTGCTAGTTTTCCTTATCCAGCCATGCTGGTTAAAGAATTCTGAGAGCTCCGGGACTGTTTTTTTCACCTAAACATATAAAGGATTATTAAACCTTAAATGACTCATCTAAGTGCATTAACTTTCAGAAAAAATAGAATATGAATTCTTTTGCTATATTTAGCATTTTTAGAAACATCTGCATTATCTTATATGTTGCTGTCAAAATATTTTAATAGCTTCTTTCATTTGAGATTTCCCACTTCTGGCTTGGCTTACCCCGTATTTTGAATAGTGAGGTGTGTGTGGTGTTGCTTGTCGATCCAGACTTCTCTTATGTGAGAGAGATTATTACAGGATATTCTGCACTGGTTCATTAGGGTTGGCATTAAGTATAGGTTGAATGCAGTCTGAACTAAGTATGCACTAAAAATATAAATCCCCACATGAAACTTCGGCATATTTAGAGTTCTAAATAGTGTATAAGTTCTGAAGCTCAAGACTGTGTAGGTGTGTACAGGAAGTGAGCTAGGGCCAAACAATGTGAGAAATAATGTATGGGTTGTATCCAGCGGTGTCCATCTGCCAGTGGAACACACACCACTGGAAAAATGAATCACCCTTCCAATTTACAGCAGGGAGGAGAGGAAATCCACTTGGATGGTGTTGAAAGGAGCCCTATATAATTGAGTTATTTTTTTCAATTCACACTCTTTACTCAGGGTGAATGCTTGTCCTGTCAATATTTTCCTATAAAAATAGTATTTGCACACATAGATATCCTTATGTAATTTAAAGAACATGGGGCCAGGAAAATAATATAAAAAGACTATATAGCTAATGTGCTTTTATATTAGAACTTTAATCTTATGCTGTTAAAACTTTTAAAAATTGCATATATGTCTCTAAATTTACTGAAATTACATTGGCTAAACTACTTTAACCTAATAATCATGAATGCAGCTTGAAATACATATATAAAAACCATTTTATGCCTGATTTAAACATTAACTTAAGCAAGTTGGTTTACTGCTAAAAATCACATCTCCAATGTACATCCAGCATGGCAATATCTGGAGTGGATTCCCACATGGTAAATACCTATACCTAAGTTGATTCAGGCACTTCCAATTGAGTCTTTCCTTATAGCAAGGGCAGACAACATGTAGGTCAAAGCATTTGGAAGGCCACATTTCCCATCATCCTTTACCATTGACTGTGCAGACTAGGGCTGATGAGAATGGTAGGTTCACTCCTGACACCTAAGATGATACTTTCATCGTTACATGAAGTGTCGACCAATGATATAGTGATCTTTAGCGATCATTGCTCAAATAGTGTTAGAATTGCACCTGAAAGCAGCCATATAATAGAAACCCCTTGTTTTCTTTAGTTCTTACACTAAAAATACTAAAAGTATCACTCCTTAAATTGGCTTTTTACTTCCACAACCTTGTGATTCTAGATTTATAAAGCATCTTTGTTTCAAAAATATGAAAGGTGAGTAAGCTTATTCTTATAAGATCGGAGAGTCTTGAATTGCCTTTGTTTTCCATATGACAATGGCATACCATAAAAGAAGGGAGTGCATGAAATATTGCGGTCAGGACACTTTAAAAAACTGCAGGTGGTTCAACTATAGCACAATCAGATAAGCATACTATATTCAGCATTCCAAAATGCACTGTGAAGTTCTAAACTGATAGGCCATTAGTAAAGAAGCTGTGATCAAGGCAGAGAACCTTTCAGAGAAATTTTGAATGCTGAACAACACTGCCTCCAACATGGATTGTAGATCTGGATTTGATTAAAGACTGCACATGTGTTGATTTGGCAACACTTAAGCAGATGGGAAAAGCTTTTTAGGAAAGAGATAAACCCCTTCATTTATTTTCCTTCCTTAGTAACTAAAGTATCAAAAGTGGTTGTTCAGCTGGGTTCAGAAGCACCAGATCTTCAAATTATAAGCTAACATGTCCTTGCCAAACCTGGTGCCCTCCAAATGTTTTGGGTTGCACTATGATAGGAACTGAAATCCAAAACACCTGGGAAATACAAGTTAACATGTTCAAGTATGCATCACATGTACCCAGGCTTTTCTCCATGATGGCACTTGGAAGGAATGTCCTGTACAGATTGTATACATAGGCAGGGTTTTCCAAAGTGATTTGCCTTACACATTCAATTAAACCAATCAGGAAGTTGAGACAACCATAGCTATTTTACCTGTTAAGTCATTTTAGTTCCCTGTGAGTGAAATGGAATCTCAGTATGTTTCTTCTGTTGTAGTTCTTTCTTTTGAAAGAAGAACATTGTATAATATTGCCAAAAGAGTCTACATATGGATATATATCCCCATTTGTGATGTTCACCTTTTATTCCATTCACTCTATAGAAATATGGAACATAGGATTTAAAATACACATATGGCGTGAGTGAGCTGGTATTAGGCTAAGTGAAAATGATTCATTGTGCTTAAAATCTTTCCAAACTGGCTGTAGAAGCAGTGATCATGATGCTTTGCCAATGTGGTATGTTCTGTGGCTGGTGCTACTCATTTTTTATTCTGTTCACAGTTTGACATACAGAGAACAATAGCTGGCTTCCAAGTTAATTGTCTCAAAGGCCAATGAAAGCTACTTTTCACATTACAATGTATATATCAAATGAATTTATACCATTTATATAGTGTTTCACATCTAAGCAGATAGTAGAGCAATGAACAATAAGATAAATAAGATGTGTAAATAAGAATATTATGTTTCTCTTTAAGCAGCACTGTAAAGGTCTTAGATTATCTGATGCTTAAGAAACATTTGAGATCTTTGCAAGCAGCTAAGGAGGCTAAAGGAGTTATTCTGGCTGCATTTTTTGTAAGAGCATAATGGGCAAGTGGTATTTTAAGTCTTTTGCATTGAAGCTAACATTGGTGCAACTAATATTGGTAGAATACCAGTTATATGGTAGATTTGTTCCTCTCTGCGGGGAAAAGGTTTCCTGTGTTTCTGTGTTGTGTAGTTCAAGAGGGACTCATGAACTATGTTTAAAAGTTTCTGACTGGTGATTGGTTTGAAGGGTACCTGATAAACAGGTGTATCTTACATAAAGAAGCGGTCTGAGTTACATCAGCTTCAGTTGCAAAGCGTTCTGATGTCATTTATTTATAATGGGAATACTTCCCATTTTGCATAAAAGAAAAGGAAGTTTGTACACAAGATACTTTATGAACATATTTGGAGAGTCCTATGTTCATACTGTTAAGCACTTTGTATTAACATGCTAACCAAATTTAGAGTCATGGGGGACATTTTAGATAAGCAGCTAGAATTCACTTAGGGAAGGTTTGAAACCAATTGGCTAAAAGGTATGACTAATATTTAATGGTTGCAGTAAACTGTCAAGAAAATCTTATGTTCAGTTACGTTTTGGCTTATGAAGGTCCCAAGTGATTTCATTTATATTGAAACATTGTCTTTTGTTGCATATTTTACTTTTAAAACTAAAGCATACAGTTAGTGTTACTATTTGTGAGAATAGCAGTGTGATGCACTGTACTTTTCTTCCCTCATAACAAACAAGTATGTTTTGGAACCAAAATGAATTTTCCAGCCTGCTATAAGTTGGTAGGTCTACGCCAACTTCCTTATTGCTTATTATTGACATGTTTATCAGAGCTGTAGAAATACTTCCTGTCTTGGCTTTTTGGCTGGCTTTTTGCTGTTGTACAAATGCATCAAAAGAAAGTTTTGTACACATACTGCCATTGACAGTATGCATATTTTGAACCCTAATAGGATACCCTATCCAACTAGATGCTGTTTCTCGTCTAACCTTAAGAACTAAAAGGCCACTAAGTTCAGGAATGCAGAGTAGACTTTGTGTGAGGATATTTCTAGAACATTAACAGTGCAGTACAAAGCTTAAGCAAATGTTCTATCAAAGTCCCTACAGCAAACTTTTACTGTACATTTTATTTCCTGATCTAGTGACGACAATCTACAAGCCAAGATAAGGGAGTTGATAAGGAGCCATTCATTTGATGCAAACAAATTGCTGCAGTTTTATTATGCTTAGCACTGAAAGCACATATGGAAGGCATGGAAACCTTTTTACTTGCCAACTGAGTTGTTGGAAGAAAATCCCCCAAAAACTGTATAGCTAAGTCCAGGTGTTGCCTGCCTTCTCTGAGGCTTGGGCTCAGCAGCTTAAATGGTTAGCATGATTTGCTTATAAAGTAAATAATTAGTTTCAGTTTGGGTTCTTGTTTTGTGACAATACACACACAGAGACTTCTCTGTGAGGAAATTCCCGCAGAAAAATGGGGGTGGAGAGAAACAGCTGGTACACCCAAAAGAGTTTTCTATGGATGCCAGAACTTTTACAACTTGATTTTAATGCCACAGCCATGAAAAAACTTGTACTCAAAAGCAGTGCCAGTGCAGTAACCTTTGCTGTTCTTTTCCAACAGAACTACCCCCAAAACTTAAGAAGAAAGGACATACTGGACGAGAACAAAAGAAGGTGAGTGATTGTACATGTTCTCCTTTGGTTTTGGAGAACCAATGTTTTAAACTCAGCAGTAGGTAGATTTTTTTAAAGTTACCTCTTTTGGACTTAAGAAGGAGAGCAGATCTTTGTTTACCTTATCTTGAGAAGAACTGCACTGCACATCACCTCCCAAGATTTTGTCTCATTTGGGGAAGCATTTTATACCTTCCACCAGAGACCTACAGCTGAGCGTTTGAGGGACATGATTCATCTGTCTCCTTAGTTTTGGATAGAGTCTGGAGTCCTGGCAGAGATACAGAATGGAGTAAGAATTGATTGAGCTCCAGTTTCCTTAGAGATGTCTGATTCTTCTCAACTGAAGGAGGGTTGAAGATCAAGAAAGTATATAAAAGAAATGACTGCCACTAGAAATGTAACTTTCCTAGTAGCCTTTTATATAACCTTCCTAGTAGCCTGTTGGTTACAAGTCCTTAAAATCTTTCAAGTTAGTTCAGTTATGTAGTGACTGCTAGGGAGCGAAGAACTAAGTGGCATACTGCCCTTGCCTTTTGTGATATAATACATTTCCTGGCAGAACACTCGTATAAATGTGCTGCTTTAGTTGGCGCAACTTGCACTGATAGGGTCTGGTTGGGAATATTCCCCCCCTTTTAAGTACTTTGCATATTTTCTCTCTGCAGCCCATAACTCAGTGGTCCGTGATACAATCCCCTAACAGACAAATTGCACAAAAATGTGTGTACAAGGTGATGAGTTCCTTGTGGTGTCTGTGCATGACACATTGCACAATCTTTCCCAACACCTCCAAACTTTTTTTCATAGCAATTTGGTTGTGTGTTCACCTGTGCAAAAAGTGGACAGAAACCTGTAGAAAAGGCAATTATGTAGAAAAAGACAATTGCAAAAAGCAGGGATTGTGGGGAGGAGATAAGCATTCCTTCCTCATGTTCCTTCTTCATATGCCATACCAAAATAGCTTTATCTCTTGACTGTAGAATCTGTTTCTTTTCTGCAGCATCACCATCATCACCATCAACAGACACAGCCGCCGCCGCCGCCAACACCACAGCAGCAATTACAACCTCAGCAGCTGCCACCACCGCCATCCGCTCCTCAACAAACAACCCCTGCAGCCAAGGCCTCTCCTCCAGCTTTTGCTCCTGCACAGATCCCAGTTATGGAGCATCCGCTCCCAGGGAACATGTTTGACACTATTTCACATTTCACTCAGCCTATTATGCATCTTCCTCAGCCAGAGATGCCACCCCACCTCCCCCAGCAGCCCGAGCACAGCACTCCTCCTCACTTGAATCAGCTTGCCGTCGTGTCCCCTCCAGGTGAGCCCTTGCTGAACAACTCGGATATATCACAGTCTTCACCTTAGAGTTGTTATTGCTGGCAGATCTCCCTGCTGGGCATCATGTTTGTTTGAACGCTAGGGCAGCCAAAGACATGCAGTTTAGGTGTCAAAGGGCCATTCCTAGCTTGCTAAACTATTACTAGCTTGAACTACAGCGCTGTTTACATTCCAAACTAGGAACTGTGTTTTAAACATTGGTGTACAGTTTGAACATGGATTAAGATTCTGGATAGCAAACCAGCATTAAGCCACCATTCCTTCTTTCTGATGTAAAAGCTCAAGCTAACCAGATAAGCATATCATGAAGTGAAGGCATGGGGGAATATTGAAAATCCAGTGCTTGTTCCCATCTTGCTGAACTATGCTTTAGCAAAATGGGAACGTGGGGTCTGAACTCAGTCACAAAATTGAAGGGTCGGGAACTGGCATCTGGAATGGTGGGTGGCTTTCTCATGCTATGCCGTAATGTGCCTAACTTTTCTTTTACTGAGCTATTTACCACAGAAAATGCAGTGGGGGTATTTCAGTGTGTGGATAGCTGTGCTCTGTAAGATTTCTTTCAGTTAGACAAACCTCTTTGTTTCTGTATAAGCATTCCAGACTTAAACTATGCAAAGAAGTCTTCACAAGTATTTTTTCCTAATTCTAAAGCTTGTGTCTTCCAACATTTTCTGTAAATGTTGGTCCAGTGAAACATGCCACTTCTTCTTGCTTTTTATCTCTTAGACCTGACCTACAAATGAAGCAGAATGAGGTGGTATATTTCCAAGATAGTAGAATGGACTGTATCCCTCAGGTGGAGAAAACAGTCTACATGTTTCCCTTTGTGACAAGCAAAAACAAGTCAAAACAAACAAAACCTACCATAATATGGAGCAGAGTTAACTAAAACCTTCCTTCCAAGATGCTAGGACTTTTCTTTTTGTTTGCACTTTTGGTGGGGCAAGAATTTAAAATGTGGTCTACCACCAGCAGTCTGAAATCATTCAGTCCATTTTACTGCAAAACTCACCCATCCTTACTTAAGCCACAGTGGGTTGCAGTGTGTGCTGACAGCCATTTTGAAACTTAACCAAGGTCGCCATGGTTTATTGTATGAACATGTGTGGCAGTGGAAGTTTGAAGGAACCTACAGGAGACCATGGATTGTTCGAGGGTTTTTTAATATTCAGGATGGCACTGGCACACCCTGCGGTCTGCCATCAAATAAGTCATGGTGGGCTGTAGCCATTTTGTGTACCAGCCCATTAAGCATCTTTCTGCTGCAGTATTTGATGCTGTGCTTTCTCTCCACCAGCTTTGCACAATGCTCTGCCTCAGCAGCCCTCAAGACCCAGTAATCGAGCTGCAGCACTCCCTCCTAAACCTTCTCGGCCTCCTGCAGTGTCGCCAGCTCTTAACCAGCAAGCCATGCTTCCACAGCCCCCACTCCCCCAGCCCCCCCAGGTGCTTCTGGAGGACGAAGAGCCTCCTGCTCCTCATCACAACCTGCCGCTGAGTAATAGCCAGATGCAGCTGTATCTGCAGCAGCTGCAGAAAGTGCAGCCACAGACTTCTCTCCTCCCTTCAGTGAAGGTCCAGTCACAGCCTCAGCCATCCCTGCAGCCTCCCCCACACCCTCCAGTGCAACAGTTGCAGCATCAGCAGCAGCAGCGGCCTGTACATATGCAGCCCATGCAGTTCCCTTCCCACATCCCTCAGCCTCCGCCTCCTCCACAACAGCACCTACCCTTGCAGCAGCAGCAGCAGCAACAGCAGCAACAGCCTCCAACACCGTCTTCAAAGCCCCAGCAAGTCATCCAGCACCATCCATCACCACGACACCACAAGCCTGACCCCTACTCAGCTGGTGAGTAATGAAACATGAAGAGGGCTGAAGCGCGAAACGCGTCAAGGGTGAATGGCTTTGCTCCCCAGACCTTCCCCACTGGATTAATGATGCATACATTAAAATCACTGGAAGTCCTCTTATTACCTTAAGACCTATGCAAATATGTTTTGGTCTGTTAATTCAGCAGTGTGAGTGAATGTTAATTGAAGAGAGTCCAAGAGAAGAAAAAGCGCCTATCCATCACCTGTGCTTGTCTTTGAAAAAAATCAAACAATATATATCTCAGTTCAGTTATTTTTACAGAGCAGGAAAAGCCTTCTGTGCCTTGTCTGTCTCAGGTTTTAGATTTACTTTGCTTGGAAAAGCAACATTAAGAGCATATATTCTGTCCTCCATGACAACTAACTTAATATTATTAATGAATCTTAATATAACCTCTCTTCACAAATGATGAAGGAATGAAAAGCCAACTTTCTGAGCCATTAAGAAATGTGTAGGCTTTGATTGACTCAATTTCTGTACTCAAAAATCCTATGTGCCCAGCTGCATCTGTATATATGCAGCATTTATTTATCTATACAAAGTTTGGTATGAAAATCTCTAGCATAACCTGATACAGTTTAAAAGGTGGTACTTCTGTAATTAATCAAAGGGTCTGCTGCTGATAGACAGTCACCACCATGAAACACTCCTGCTCATTGATCTTTGTTCCCGCTCTGAATTCAGTCTATTTCATTATAGGTCAGCAAATTGTAAAACTTCCTTTTGCAGCCATTATGTCAGATTCTTAACTGCATAAGAGATCATGATACATAGTGAAGTGGTTTATTTGGCCCTATAATTCCTCCTACTTTACAACTGTTTTAGCAGCAAAGTGGTATTAGGTACTGTATATAACATTAACTCTTCTGAAGAACTTGCGGTAAGCAGACATAGCAGAGATGGGACACTGGAAGTTTCAAGAACTGATGAACTATTTATTTATTGTTGATTAGATTTATATCCTGCCTTCTTTCTTTTTTTAAGAAAACAAAGTGGTTTGTATCATTTTTCTGCTGCTGCTCTCAATCTGTTTAGGTAGAACAGGACAGATTCACTGGCAGTGGAGAAGAAACAGGGAAAATGAGAGTGGCTGGTTTCAGAAAATGGGTCTTGAAAAGGCATTTAAATGCCGCAAAGGGGGCAAGTGAAAGGGTAGAAGAATACTATTCAAGGCATAGGTAGAAAACTCACAGCCAATGGAATTGGAAGAGCCTCTCTAGCTTGCATGGAACTGAAAAAGAACAGCTTTTTATGGGCAGTTTGAGAGAAGAAATAGAGAACTTTGAAAGTGAGAACTAGCATTTTGAAGCTGTGGTGAAGCACATCTGGCATCCAAACTAACAATATGAAGGTCCAGAAAAAATATAAATGGTAAACCAGATACATGAGTTTTCCCATAGTTTTTTCCTAAAGATTTTCCCTTTTTCCCCTGGTGGAAAGCTGAAAAAAACATTAAACATTTAATCTTTAAAATTGTTAAATGCTGTCAAGTTGTCTGCAACTAACACTAACCCTTTGAATTAATACACTTCAAAATGTCTTGTCTTTGCCAGTCCAACCCAACTCTCATAACTTCCAGACTGTGGCTTCCTATTAGTGAAATGTTTTTGAAGACAAGATTTTCTTTACTCTAAATGTATAGTATGAAGACCTGTGAATACTCTGCTATATACAACACTCAAATGTGGGGGTGTAATTGGGAAAGAAGCATATGGAGCCTTTGCTGCTGGCCCATTGTTCCTTCCCTTCTTGCGCTGACCTTGAGTCTTGTTTGAAGGTACTAGAAACAGGTGTCTGGTGCCTGTCATCCTTCCGACCTGGTCCCTCACTGCTTGACCTTTTCACCTCTCCTCCTTGGATGATTGAAACAATGGCCCCATTCATATACTCAAAATAAGCCATTGCAGTTTAGCTGTTGAGTTTGGCTGAGGATCTTCTTCAAATTGTGGTATATAATTTGAATAATCACAGCCTAGATATAGCTGCCATTACCTGAACCTGGGTAGCATGTCTTGTTGACCCTCCCAGAACCCTACAACAGGAAGTTTGTTTCCCTCTGCAAGTTATGCTGCCAAGATTCAGATGACCCAACAAGCCATACCCAAGTGGTGATTCTTCACGTTGTGCTCACCACATGCCACAATTTAGCGCAATCAAAACTGTGATGGCATATTTAATCAGTTCAGACACTCTACTACCTCCAAGCAATTACTGCTTTGCCTTGATGAAGAACAACACAGTCAAAAGGAGATGAAACAAAAACAAAACAAAAATTCATTCCTGGTGGGGGTGGTCTGCTGCTGGAATGGTGTCAAACCAGTTTGGCCTCCAGCCATCACCATCTTCATTTTTATTGGACTCAGAGGCATTTTAGGGGTGAACAGTTGCAATAGTAACTCTTAAGAGGTGGTAGAACAGGACAAAGCAAATATGGCGCAAGCACCGTCAGTTCTTCCTCTCCTCCCACTGGCACCATTATCTCAGCCCCATTTCCCTCCCATTATCTCTGTTCCATTTACCTACCTCCTCAGGTTTTTTGTTTGCTTGTTTTAGAATTGTCAGGGAACTGCTGTAACTAGCAGTAAGTGCTCCAAAAAGGAAACCGGTAAAGTCGGGTAGCGGGGTAGTTAATAGGTTCCCTTTCGGGCATAGCTAAGTAAAGTGTTGAAATGGTCAAGGGCCTAAGAAGTGTCAGTTCAGTACTTAAGAGCCAAAAGGTTGCATTGCTTAAGTGAGTGATCTAGTCATGCACCCCCCCTTTTTTTTTTTTGTTTGGATGTGCTTATTTTTTCCCCTTAACCAGTGCCTTTCAGTTGACAGGTGCCTGGTCCCTGGCAGCTATGCACAAATTAACCTCTCTGACCTCTCACCTTATTTATTTATTTATTTATTAAAACATTTTTATGCCGCCCCATTCGCCGAAGCCTCGGGGCGGCTTACAACAATAAATAAAAGTAATTATAATATAAATTACAATAAATATAAACATTAAAAATCCAAAAAATACAATATAAAATAAGCCACCCTGGCCAGATAAGATCAAATAATGCTAACAGTTAAAATGCCGCTTAAATAAAAAGGTCTTCGCCTGGCGCCGAAAAGCAAATAACGACGGCGCCAGGCGGACCTCTCTGGGG